CAGACGGGGGGGGGGGGCGATTGTGGTTTGGCAGCTTCCTGGGCCGGGCTGTAGCGTGCCGGGGGAGTCTGGCCTATGACTCACGTGGCTGCAGCCCGCCCACAAGGCTTCGTGGGGCGCTGCATGCAAATGAGCTGCCGCGGGCACCCAGCCGACCCCTCCCCGCGCCCGGGAATCCCTGGGCGGCCTCATGCCCCTTCCGCCCAACACAGCCAGGCGGCGTGACGCGCATGCGTAATATGCGCTCCGAAGGGGAAGCAAATGGCGGGAGAAGCAAGGGGCGGGGCCTAGGCGGCTGCTGGGCTTTGGCGAAGGGAGGGGAAGGCGTTGGCTTGGCGCATGTGAAATGTCGCGCCTGGGTCCTGTTTAGGAAGGAGGGGGGTTCCACCTCCCCAGTAGGAGGTCACAGCTGGCCTCGTCGGGCCTGACCTGGTGAGATTTCCCTCCCCTCCCCTCCCCCCGCACTGAGCTGGGCGAGACCTGCTGTAGCCTTGATGTGACCTGCCATAGCCCTGGCATGACCTGCTGTGCTGGGACCATGCTGTGTCCTGGGGTGGGCACTGCTACTTTGTGGCCCAGGGGACCCTGGGCTTGGCTGTGACTCTCTGTACCATGTGCTGACCCAGGGGGGCTGCGGTGTCACCCAGCTTGCTGGGGTCCTGTGACCTGGCACCTTCCTGTGGCATCTTGCCTACACGTGGCTCCATGGGGCCCTGGTGTGATCTGACCTAATGGGCCCTTGGTGTGCAAAGGTCTGATGTGGCCATGGCATAAGCTACTGTGGCTTGGGGATGTGATGGGACTGGAGCCTCCCAAAGTGGTTTGTGCATTATTGGGTCTCGGCATGAGCAGATGCCTGGGCATTACCCTTGGCATTATGGTGCAGGCATGTGACAGGGCCTTGGCATGATCTGATGGGGCCTTGGCATGGTCTAATGCCGCAGACTTGTGATGGGGCCTTGGCATGACTGGTGGTGCCAGCTGAACTGAATCTTCCTCCCTGCTTTGAGCAGTGATGGTGCTGCTTGTCCGGACGGAGTGGCCCCTACCAGGCTGCGGTGCCCCTTGGGATGAGGGTAGGGTTATGGGCACGCTTGGGCATCACCTTCCTTTACCCCACACTCTGCATGTCCCATCTCTGCCATGCCCTAAATCCTCCCCCCTCCCCACCCCCTGTCATCTGCACCAGAGCTGGGGTGTCCAGGGAAGGGGTGGCATGGGAGTGTGGGACTGAAGGAAGTGGGGGGGGGAGGAATTTGGTTAGGGCTGAGAGTAGGGGTAGAGGTTGGGGGTTACATGGGTGGAAGGTATATGGATGGATGAGGCTGGAGTGGGGAAGGGGAGAAGAGAGGTCATGGGCGGGCTAGGGATGGACTGAAGGGGGTGATGGGGACTATGGAGGCATGGGAGAGGAGTGGGGATGGGCAGCCAGGGAGAAGTGGCGTTGGAGGGCTGTTGGGGTGGGGTGTGAAGGGAGGGGGATTATGGGGGGAAGGGAGAGGGTAGTGGGAGGGGTGTTCAGCCTACATCCATTCTCCCCTGTCTGGCTCTGCCCCCAGGCTCCATCCAGCTTCTCCATAGGCTGAGGTACCTTTGCTGCCTGGAGACTGTAACCAACAACTGAGTTGGAGGCGGGCTGGAGGAGTGAGTGATGCAGAGACAGGGAACAAGTGCCAGACTCTCCTGCACCCTTTGGAGACTGTGACCTCCCCCTTCCTCTGACAGTGCCCGCTTGCAGCCTTCAAGGACCATCCACAGAAGACCCAGGTATCCCCTGCTCCAGGCTCCTGGGAGGGCAGGGTTAGGAAGGGCTGAGAACAGGATTGCCCCATACCCACCCTGAGCTGACACCTTCTCCCTAAACTAGCTCCTTTGACTCGCACCAAATCTCCGGCCCTCTCCAGAAATCACCCTCTCCCCAAAACAGCCCCCCAGCTTTCCTACCACCCCAACCCCCAAGCACAGTGTGAACCAGCTGCTATTTTGCCCCAGTTTCATCCCCAATGCTTCCCCTTCCCTCAGCCCAGCCGAGCTCCTTTAGCTTCTGTATTAAGTTCAAGGACACAGCTCCCTGGGAGCACAGGGCTTGTGAGAGGTGTTGTTCATACCTACTGTGCTGTGTCCTAGAAGCAGCCACCCTCTGAGGCAGTGTAGAGAGCTCCAGTGTCAAACCAGACGCCTCTGCTTGTCTGCCCCCCATGTGGTGCCCTGTGCTGCATGGAGCACCCTGATATAAACCCCTGTTAAGATGCCCTTAGTGAGACCAGCAGCCTAGGAATAACTCCACAGTACCCAGTTAATCTCTGTCTCCCTTTTTTGTGCCCCCACATCAGTGAGGAGGAGGAGATGCCGCTGCACCGCTCTGCCTTGAGCAACCGCTCTGACAGCAGTGACTTGGACCTGGATGGCATTGGTAATGGCTTTGCCCCAGGACCTCTGTTGGGCCCTGTCCTGTCACATCCTTGTCCTAGGGACATGATGCCCCACCTCTTAATTCTCAGCCCGTGAGGGCCTCTGCACAGCTCTGCCCCTTTTCATGCTCCTCCCAGCTGGCCCCAGATAACCCGAAGATTTTAATTTGGCAGCCAGCCCTTGCCCCATAGGCCATGGGGCACCCATATATAACCTCGCCACACCAAGGCACCCCATACCCCCAGCAGGACAGACTACCTTGCATTATGTCTTGGATCTCCACCTATTCCCCCCGGGTCTGTGGCAATCACCTGGGTCGGGGCAGTTCCTTAGCACCCTTAGGTGGGTATTGTGTCCCTTGCCAGGTCCCCGGGGTGGTTGGGGTGGGAGAAGGGCTTCCAGACGCTGGTGGGAACAGCTTCGGGGGGAAGGATATCTGGTGGGAGGAGTCAGGGAACGTTGTGGGGGCAGTGTCTTGATAGAATATCTTGGGGTTTGGGCATAAGGTGTTTGCGTCGTGGCAGGTATCATCTTGTGATGTCATGGGCCCATGCTCTGATCTCATGGGATCTTGGCATGATCCTGGAGCCGTGGCATGAGGAAGTTTATGCAGTGGCAGACAGGGCCTTGTATAATGTCATGGGATTTTAATGTGCTGTCATGTGGGCTGCCTGTGAGAAGGTTGGGATGTGGCAGGCATGGGCTTGGTGTGATGTCATGTGGCCACAGTGGGCCTTGGCATATCATGGGTCTTGTGTATGAGGATTTGGGCCATGATGGGTCAGGGCCTTGGTGTGATATCATGCGGTCTTGGCATGACATCATATGGCTGGGCTTCAAGGGAGTTGGGCCACATTTTGGATGTGTGGGAGGGGCTGGGCCATGGTGGGCAGGACCGTGGCTAGAGCCCTTCTCTGATGCCCCTCTCCCTGTGGCTCTTCCTGGCCCTTCAGCTGAGAGCGAGCTGGCCAAGCTGCAACGCCAGTTCCGCCTGCTAGAGGGTGACCGTCGTGCCTATGCCCAGGAGTCACAGGAGACCATCCGCAGGCAGCTGTATGTATCCCTGGGTGGGAGGGGCCCAGTACTATGCCTGCAGGATCAGGTGCACATGGCACACGCATGCACACACACACTGTGCCTCCCATATACTGGGCAGCACAGATACACTCCCCCTAGAATGCTGATGTATCACTGACATCACACACATTCCCCTAGTAACTCACCTGGAACCAGCCCTCCACACCAGGCTGCGTCACTGCACTGCACTGCACACAGGCACTTACACACACGCGCACACACCATCACAATTACATACCCACAAGGTCATGCAAACTCACATGAGATCTTTCACATAAGATCTGCTGCTCACATACCCTCACCAGGTCTCACGCATCAGTCTGCACGCTTACCTGCAGGCTCATGGCCAGGATCTCTCACACACTATAGGGACATCAGGTGCACATGACCTCCCTTATACTTGCACTCACAAGACTGCATGCTCACATTCATTCATTAATGAGGTCACACGCACAGAATCTTGCGAACACTCAGTGACAGGCCTGTGACGCACAAGATCCCACACTTGCGCACAAGATCACATCTGAGATCTTGTACTCACACCCAGGATTGTATATGCACAAGGCTCCACACCCACTCAGCTACAAGACCATACATGCACAACAACTTGCAATCTCATGTAAGACTGCATACACACAGAAGCACATACACAGGCACACTTACACAAGATCTCCGATACACATGCTTGACTGGGATCTCTGATGCACAGGTCACACTTGTATACAAGACTGCACACATGAGATCATACTCATAAGATTACATGTGCATAAGATCACTCAGACTCAAGATCCAAAGCCCACCAAATCTCACCCTTGTGAACAAGCTCACACATTCACCCACATGGATGGTCAGCTCAGGTATCTGACACATGGCATCCTGTGCCCACATGGGGACTCCATGTTCACAACCATGCAGTGAGACTTTCTTGCCCTGCTGGGCACCCTGGTAGTCACAACATCCTAGATCTCAGCACAATCCACCAGTTCACTGCTGCCACACATCACTACTCTGCCCTCTCCTTGTCTTAGCCCTGGGTCCCCCTTCCTCTTCTCTTTCTCTCTCATGCCTGGCACTCTCCTTTTGACCTCATCATCCACCAGTGGCACAATCTGGCACCCCCCCATATCACCAAGATCCCCTCCCTGCCCCACTACCCCTGCCTGCCACCCATTGCAGCTGGCCAGCCCCTTGTTTTGGACAGGGCTGAAATCCACAGGCTGGAGAAGGAGCAGGAGGGGCTGCTGCAGGAGCTGCAGCTGGCAGAGAGCAGGGCCCACCAGCTGCGGGAGCGGGCACAGGCAGGCAGCTTGCGCACCATGCTGCAGCACAAGGACCGGATGGAGGAGCAGGTGGCCCAGGAGAGGAGGACAGTGGCATGTCTGGATCTGGAGGTACCAGCTGGGCTGGGAGAGGGAGCCAGAATGCCTGGGTTCTACCCTGGTTACAGGGGGTGGGGGTCCTGAGGTGTGGTGGGTTAGAGGAGTGGGGCTGGAAGCCAGGACACCTGGGTTCTATCCCACCTCTGGATGGGAGTGGGGGTCTAGCAGATGAAAGCACAGTGGGGGAATGTGCTGTGCTGACCAGACTGGCTCTTCCTGGGCTTCTATTATCTCTCATTCCCTTGGTGATGGGATAGAAGACTTCACTGTAGCTCTCAGGCAGTTACCAACAGTCCCCTGCATGATGCTCTGGGGCATCCCTGAGTGCTGTGGGCAGCAATACCTGGTCTCTCCCCAGTGAATGGGCAAGTGGTTGTGAGCAGTGGGACCATCCCGCAGTGCACTACAGATGATTACCCAGCAGCCACTGCTGCATTCAGGGGGCACACCTGGCTGAACTATGTGAATCTTATGGGCCCTGGTGCCCGCCTTTTTGCCTGGCAGATCCAGAGCTGGGAAAAGCGGCTGTCGGAGCTGCAGAGGCATGTGGGCAGTGCCAGCATCACTGAGCGGGACAAAGCCCGGATACAGAAGAAGGTGCAGACCCTGGAGAACCAGCTGAACAGGGTAAGGGGACAAGAGGGACACAGCAGCTGGGCAGAAGTGCCTTGTGGGTTCATGTTGTGGGGAGGGAGCTGCGAGCCAGGACTCCTGAGTCCTATTGTAGCTCTGGGAGGGAAGTGGGGACTGATGGGTTCAAGAGGTGGGGGAAGTGGGGCTGGGAGTCAGGATACTTGGGCTCTATTCCAGCTCTGGGAGGTGGTGTTTGGTACGATGATTAGAGCAGTGGGGTCTGGAGCCAGGACTCCTGGGTTCTCTCCTAGCTTTGGCAGGGGAGCAGGGTCAGGAAGGAGCAGGAGCAGCTGCTGCAGGATCTCCAGCTGGCAGAGAGCAGGGGCCCAGCAGCTGCAGGAGTGTGTGAGTGAGGAGGGAGCTGAGATACAGTCTCGTAGGTCCTGTCACTGGCTCTGGAATGGGAGCAGGAGCTATAGTTTCAGCAGAAGAGTGAATACTGGGATGAGCAAAGTGGGGGGCATTCTCTAGTGCTGGGATTCCCCATACACTGTGCCCCTCTCATCCCTCTCCTTGCAGGCCTTGGCCAAGTTCAACTCCCAGCTGGTGCTGAATGCCCACCTGCGTGAGGAGCTGGAAACCATGCGCATTGAGCACAGCCGCTTTGAGCAGCTCTGCCGGCGGCTGGAGAGGGTGAGTGCATGCCCAGGGGGAAGAGGAGGAGGGCAGAAGGGGCTTGGGCTAGGTTCCCCCAGCTCTGGGAAGGGCATGGGGTTTGGTAGTTAAGGCAGGGGTGGTGGCAGTTAGCCTCTGCGGTTTAGTGGTATGGATCCAGGCAAGCACTGCCAAGCTTATTGTGGGAAACTGAGGCACTGATTGGGGCTGAGGGAGAAGCACAAGGGGGAGGAGAGAAAAATGAAGAGTCCTGGTAGGCTGAGGTGGGGCTTGGTGTGGTGTTGAGGGCAGTGATTGGTCAGGACATCTTATGATGGAAGAGAGAAATCTGACTGGCTGCTGCAACACCCATTTTGTAGTTGGTGAGATATGGCAGGATGTGGGTGGTCAGTGAAGATCCATTTGTGCCACTGTGGGGCAGGAGACGGGTGTGATCGGTTGGGGATGTCTCCACAGTGCCCCCAGGGCAGGATGTAAGGGTGTGATTGGCTGGGGGGATCCCACTGTAGCCCCAGGACAAGATGCAAGGATGTTATTGGCCGACACCCCCTTCTGTGTTTCCCAGGAGGTGCATGAGAAGCGAAAGGAGATTGGTGCTGTGATCGCCACGTCCTCCATGGCTTATGATGCCAGGTAGGGCCCGGCCTTGCTCTGACCCCAGCACCCCATACTGGCCTCCCAGGCACTGGGAATGTGGATCACTGATTGTGCAGACACCACGTGCCCCCTGGGGTTTAGAGCAGGGTCTGTGAGCCAGGACCCCTGGTTCTATGCTGTCTCAGGGAGGAAACGGGTTGGGATGGGTTGGAGCTGGGAGCTGGGATGTCTGGGTCTCCTCCCAGCACATTCTGTAGCCAGGAAGTGTTGGGTCCCCAGTGACACTGCTGCCCCACAGGGATGAGGCACAGGCCAAGCTGGGGCAGCTGCGGGAAAAGGCGGAGAAGGATGTGGCACAGCACGGGGCTGAGATGAAAGAGCTGCAGCGGGTGCTGGACCACGACAGGCGCCTTCGCCAATTCCTGACCATCAAGGCACAGGAGCGGAGCCTTACCCAGGAGGCGCTAAAGGCCCGGCAGCAGAGAGGTGCTGGGGGAGGGTGGGAGACCTGGGTTCTCTCCCAGCTCTGGGAGGTCAGGGAGGTCTTGTGGGTTTGCAGCGGGGTGCTCAGAACCAGGACTTCTGGGTTCTGTTCCAGCTCTGGGAAGGGAGTGAAGTCTAGTGGGTTAGAGTGGGGAGAGGGGCTAGGAGCCAGAACATCTGGGTTCTATTTTGCACATATTGTGAGATCTGAGTGTCTGCTATGTGCTCCCAGCCCAGGAGTTGGCTGAGGGGAAGCGCCGTGACCCTGAGGAAGAGCTGTTGGAGTCCTATGAAGATACTTTCAGGCAGCTGCGGGAGCTGAAGGGGGAGGATGACCTGGACCTGCTGGTGGAGAAATTCCTAGAAGGTGACAGGGCAGCAGGGAAAAGGGCTTTTAGGCAACCCTATGACAGGCCACCAGCTGGCTCTGGAACTGAGCATGGGGTGGGGCCTGTCCCTTCCAGGGGGCACCTGCCCCATGGCAGGGGCCTTGGCCATGTTGGGTTGAACAGCAAGTTGAGGGGGTTTCTGTGCTGAGGGGAGTCTTTTTAGGGGTCTCATTATATTGGTGCTGGGTGAGGTGTCAGTGGAGAGGCTGGGGGCATGGGCAGATCTAGGATTTTGAAAAGGGGGGTGTAGATAGTGGTGCACCATCACCTATAACAAAACACACATTTTTCTCCGGTTAAGGAGAAACTAGAAGACTTACTAATGTGGGATGGAGCTAGCACTATATATTATTCAGTTTAAGATCAAAGCAAACGCAAATATAACTTCGTAAGAATATGCACTGATTTGCCAGATTTTATATATAAAGGTTAAAAAACACAAACAAAACAGGCAAAAATAGTCAAAATACATTATTTTATTAGGCCTGTAGTTATTATATTTAAATCTTATCTCTGATTCAGATTTGTAAATCAAAATGCAGTCTTCCCAAGCATCTTGATAGTGCATCCAGTACTTCACTGTCAGTCATTTTCACACCTGAGTTAATGTTTCCTTGAATTAATATGACCACACTTGAGTTAATGTTCCCCTGTATTAATTAAAAGGTTTAGCTAGAGCTAAAAACATCTGCAGAACTGTGAAACAGAAGGGAGATATTACTAGGAATAGCAAACAGACAGCAAAATTGCAGAAGAAAGGATAGGTTGATTAATAGAACATCAGGTTGTTAACACCTGTGGAGTGGAGAAAGATTAGAAGGAATTGGGGAGATGATAATGAGCCATGATGTCAATTGAGTCCCTCAGGGTTATTTGAATAGAATAGAAATGCTGCTGTTCCTTCAGGGAGTTGGTTTTAAAGTTTGGGTGGAGCAGGAGTCAAAGGGGGATGTGACTACACCCTGCCTTGGATCTGCCCCTGGCTGGGGGTGCAGTGTGTGTGTGGGGGGGGCATTCTCCCCAAGTCAGGGGGTCTCTGATGCTCTGTTTCCCCACAGAGGAAGATCAAAACTTCGCTGAATTCAACTACATCAATGAGCAGAACAGTGAGCTGGAGCGGCTGGGGGAGCACATTGCCCAGGTAGGGACCTGTGCTCTGTTCCCCTGCACCCCAGGGCCCTAGTCAACCTCTTACCCCTGCTGTGTGGGCTCTACCCCTGCAGCTGCAGCAGGAGATTGTGGCAGCCCAGGCACAGGAGGAGTGGGCAGAGCAGGAGCACCGGGCAGAGCTCCGGGCTGTAGAGACCAAGCAAGAGGCAGTTGTGCAGGAGGCCAAGCACCTGCTTGCCAAGGAGAAGGAGATCATCCAGACCCTGGAGCATGTTAAGGCGGGTACGGAGGAGGGGAAGGGCTGGGGTGTGCTCCCACTGGTAAGGGCCCCAGGGCTCTCCCACATGGTAGATCGGAATCCTGGCTCTCAGAGTTCTCCAAGTGAACGCAGTTCCTTCCCTGAGCCAAGAGAGAACCCAGGCATCCTGGGTTCCAGTTCCCCTAATCTGATCCTACTTCCCCACTGCCCTTCCAGAGTGGAGAGAAAACCCAGGTGTCCTGGCTCACAGCTCCCCTGATCTGTCCTGGGGGGGTTGGTGTGTATGTGTGTTGAGGCAGGGAGATAACTGGGCTTGTGTATCTGCAGGCATTAGGGAGCTGTTTGAGGAGCTGGGCTGTGATCGGACAGGGTTGGATGAGGTGCTGGGGGGTGGGATCTTGGTGCGTGACTCCACCTTGCTGCTCTTCCTGGGGCGGATTGAGCAACGAGCCACTGAGCTGCTGGCCATGCGCTCCTACCTGGCCTCCAAGGTGAGTGCAGGCCTGTGCCAGGTGGGGGCTCAGAGCCTGGTGTGTGCCAGGTGGTCTCTGTGCCAGATGAGGGTCTCTATAGAGTGGTGGTGGCTCTGTGATGTAGGATGAGAATCTGGGTTGAGTCAGTGCCAGGCAGGGGGCGTGGAGGTGTCTTTGTGCCAGGCAGGAGGGTTGGGGGTTATTGGGGATGGGTCTGTACCAGATGGTGGGGTGGGCTCTGGGCACAGGGGACTTGGTGTCACAGGGTAGGTCCCCCCCTAACCTTCCTTGCTCTCCTTTTGTTTGTCTGCACAGAACTTTGATGACCCTTACGACCCCTCAGAGACAGCACGGCTGCTGCTGGGGCAGACGGAGGGTGTCCCTACTCTGCCCCGCCCCCCACGACCTCCCACTGCCAGGTGAGGCTCCCTGTTCCTACAGCCCCACAGCAACAGAGCGGGTTACTGGGTTTGCTAGCCCAGACAGAGCCACCCTTGCCTGCAGGACCTTAGTTAGGAGAGGTGATGTGGGGTGTGGGTAGGTCAGACTCCTAGGTTCTATCCTGGTTGTGGGAAGGGGAATGTGACAAATTAGAAGGGGGTGGGTTGGTCCTTCAGAAACTCAGGTTCTGTCATTAGGGAGGTGATGGGGCACGTACCCACCCTTCACCCCCTCACTTGCTTCTTTTCCTGTTCCTGTGAAGGGAAGACCATGACACTGAGGAGGCCCTGACAGATGGGAGTGAGGAAGAGGAGAGACCCCTCACCCACAGTGAGCTGAGGGAGCGCATCCTCCAGGAGGTAAGTAGGGGCTGGGGATGTAAACCTGGGGTCTATCCCAGCTCTAGAATGGGAGTGGGATCTGGGGGTTTAGAGTAAGTGGGGCAGGGAGCCGGGACTCCTGGGTTCTATCCAGTAACATGCTGTCCCATGTATCTTCCCACACCAGGTGCTGAGCCGGGAGGAGACACTTCCCTCCAAGAGGAGCCTGGACCCAGAGCAGGCTGCACGGGGTGCACTGCGCCCCATGGAGTCTTGATCTGAGGGCTGAGGTCTCAGGCTCCGGGTATGGAACAGCCAGTGTGCTGGGCAGATTGATGTGAGGACAGCTTCTCCATCCCAATGCCAGGGCCCCCCATCTCTGTCTCCACTCCTCTCCCCCAGGACTGGACCCTCCCCTGCAACACCACCTGGGGCCTGACCTGCCTGTATCCTGGACTTGTAGGTGCAGGAGGGAGCCCCCATTTCTGCCCATAGCTCCACATGCCTGCCTACCCACCCCTGTTCCTGCTGGAGTGGCTGATTCCCTGGCCTGTCAACAAGGACCTGAGTGCCTGGGGGACTCTGGCCTCTGGGATCCCCCTTCTCTGGCAATCTTGTCTCTCATTCAAGCCCCCAGTTAATCATGGATCAAAGCTAGTTCCTATCCTTGGTGTGGCCCCTGGCAGGCCTTCCCAGGGCAAGCACAGCATGGGTACAAGGGCCCCTGGGGCTGGCTTGTGTTTCTGCCTTCCCTGGCAAGGCTTGCTGTATCTGCTGTCACCATACATGGAGCAGCAATAAATGACCCCAGCAACACCGTGTGTGTGCGCGTGTGTGAGCAGTGCTGCTTCCTGCTGGTGGGGGTTGTGCATGAAAAGGGATCTGTCTGGGGCAGTTCACCTGAGTACACAGA